TATGAGTCCAACGCTCTAACTAATTGAGCCACAGGCTCGTTGTCTTGTCGAATTCGATGGCAAAATCTGACTGTCATTGCTCAGGTCACGGGTTCGAGCTTCGGGTGTTGCATCCCTGGGGGTCTGGGTATGGCTGGCTAATAAGCCAGAAATAGCCATTCCAGTTTCCCTTGCCTTTGCCGGTAATGTTCCTTCTCTAATACTAACTGCTATGTGGCTGCTGGTGAGACTCAGGGGTGAGCTCCAAGGCAGTGTGGTACGAGTGAGTCCTGTAACCGATCGGTGTGCCCATCCAGTAAACCAATCTACGTCAACTCCTCTGTGCGCGCTTATTTGAGAGCATTTCTGTCAGCCTTTCATGCAAATTTCATAACATTTGTTACCCTGGTGGATACCCCTGCCGCGTCGACCTGCTGACTGTCCTATCGGGTCACAGCCTAGTAATTTACTGTTTTCTCTCTTTAGAATGCATCTTTAAAGAACCATGACCTCATGCCCATAATAACACCAGTCTTTCCGCACAAAAATGCCGCCTATACTGTACGTCCTTCGACGCGGGATATTGTTGTAAAGGAGTTCAGGCGAGGTTAGTGATGACGCGTTAATTCTTTCCTACTTTTTGACCCGGCTTTGATAAACTTTAATCATTCAAAGCGCATTCTGTCTTTAATTTTCTCGCTATTGAGATTGAAAAACCGGACACGCTTTCATGCCGTCTATTACGAAAAATAGCCTTAAGATTGTTGACGTAGTCGTTTTCTGATAATCAACGTTGATTTCACCTTGTCAAGTTTAACTTTCTCGCATATTAAAGGAGGATAATCAGTGAGTCAGACTGCAATAACTTCCTGGCGGGTCTGTAATTATTACAATTTGTCCTGAATTCATTTAGAACAAATTGGAGGTCGCGCGCTAAAATAGTCACAACATCTATTCATTCTTCTGTCTCAAACCTTCGTAGACCAATCGTCTGGTAGGTGTGTTTAGACCTCTTAGAACGGTCTGTCCGCATCAGCCAACCACCCAGCCAGCCGACCGACTCGGACGGCGGAGAGAGAGTGAGGTCGACTTTCAGCCCACTTCTTTCCTCACTATAAACAATCTAACGCGCTTGAAGCTATCACATTGCGCTACAAGCCGTGGCCTGAAATGTTGCCAACTGACGGGATAACTCC